TAGAATCTTCACAAATCATTTATTATTTTTATATATTCCTCTTTAGTAGGTATTTAACTCCAGCCCCATGAGTGACTATACTCAACGGAAAAACCAACTTTGCATTTTACTTGACTGCTTATGCACAATCTAAGCTGTCCCTACTACTTGAAACCTCCCCATCTTTTGAGGCTTCATTTTAAAGACAGATTTCAAGTAGCCTAAGCTGGCCTTGAACTGACCTTTCTGCCTTAGCCTTCCATGTTCTGAGATTTCAAGGTATGCTTTAATGCCATGATCTTATGGTTTTTAGAGTCATATGTTCCCTTAGCTCTATATTCTACAAATATTTTACAAAGCCTTTCCAGTTGACATAAATGAGAAATGTTTCCTAAGTCCTATTGAGAATATCAAAATGCTTATTAGAATACACTCAGTGAATTTGTAGGATAGTAGTCAAAGCAGCTGCATTTTCATTGAGTACCTTTGCTGACTTAGGTAAATATGAGGTCTAGTTGTTGATATCCCTGAGCAGTGGGTAAAGGACTTAAAATCTAGATTATTCATGAGGAGAGGTCTCCACTGTAGACCCTTGTAGACCCTTCCCCAAGTGGGTAGAATTTAAGCTGAGAACAAAGATAAAGTGAACATAGTGTTTATACTTTGACTCTCAATAGAAGGAAAGAAAATGGCCATTTTTAAACTATAATGTTTAAGATGCAGAAATCTAGACATTCATATCACAGCCTCTATCATTTAATAGTTCAAATAGGCATGCAGCCATGAGCATTGCATAATTGTAGGTGTTGCTGCTAATACTTGCGTAGGGATATGATTTGTCTCTGCAGGGAAAAAAAAACCAAGATGAGTTTAAGTTTCAAAGTGTAGAAAAAGAATCAACACTTAAAAGGTGATAGAAACACAATGAACTCTAAAGGAAAAGCAGCAGGAAGCAGAAATGTAGTCCCCAACCTCTTCACTATCAGGCAGGATAAAATAGTGGCTTTGTTTAGGGACATCGATAATAGGTCTGACCATGCTAGCCAGTAGAGCAGCTGTGCAGAAGAATTGCGGAGAATGTTTATAGATTAAATCTAAATTATCAGATTTAAAACACCATGAACATATTTAGCAGATTAAGCAGAGTTATAAAAAGAATTAACAAACTGTGTTTCCTCAGATGAATTTATTAGTAATAACACACAGAAAAAAAACACAAACAAACAGAAAGACTTTGGAAAAATAGTTTTAAAAATGTGTAAGATATAGGAGAAAATATAATCAAGTAAGGACTTAAAGAAGACAAAAGAAGTTTTGTTTAAAGAGCTGATGATGAGAACTCTCCAAAATATCATAGATGAAAGACAAATGTAAATCAACAGCTATAAGCCCAACAAATTGAAACCCGTAACTAAAAAGAAGCTCATACCTATAAACACTGTATGGAACCACAGACATCAAAGACAAAGAGATGTTGAAAGGAGCTAAGTGGAAGAAAAAGTAGCTAAAAATGGAAGGCTTTGAAATCAATTTTCTGCAGCATGCATGGCCATCCAAAGACAGTGGAAGTGTGTGTTGACAAGCAGAAAACACTGCCGATCTATAAAACTGTATGCCTTGGAAAACAATTTTAATATGAAAATATGTCTTTGCATATCAAGATCATAGAAATAAGGAAAGATGTGGTGGGAAGTTCAGAATAGTGACTAGAGATACAAAGAAAATGATCACAGGTCAAAGGCCTTAACGTATTAAGGAACACAGGAAAATGAACTGGGCCATAGAAATGTTAGCATTGCAGCCATTGTGTAATAGAATTTTAAAAGCAAAGGAGAATTAAAATTCATGAGTCTGTAACACATATCAGGACAAAAGTTAAAGAAGGAAAAAGTTTTCAGATTTAGCCTTTTTTCTACATCCATGGTAATGAAATAAAAATAATAAAAAAAAAATTATAGGCAACTCCCAACTGGCAGCATGAAAGGGGTTGGATAATTCTATAATCCAACAATCAAAAAAGAATTTAATCAAAAAATCAAAACTTGAACAAAAAACACAAAATGAGAACAAACAGTTTTATCCAAATACAAATGAATGAAATGCTAAGTATTTGGTGGAAGGGGGTTGCCAGGCTCTCTGGAAATGACAGAGGATAGGCACAGGCTTGTCAGAAGAGGCGCTCAGGAAATGTGAGGATGTGGAAGCTTAAGAATAAAAACTTCCAAAACTGTGAAATGCAAATGCCAGTAAATGAATGCATGAGTAGCTACAATAGTATATAAAATACACTTTTAAAAGCTAAACCTTAGAGATAATAAGAGTAATAAAACTTGAACTCATGAAATTTAAATATTCTTCATAGTATAGTTGAGAAAGGTAAAGCAAAAATAAGAGAGTTACAAGGGAAAAATTTAAAACTACGGAAGCCGTTTAGATAATGATAATGCTAGTCGAAGTTAACCCAACTAACATAAGCAGGCAATCACTCAGTTAACCAATCAGCCTTACCAGACATGTTCTGATCTATCAAACACACTCTCACACGGTACAATGTTTCTTCTTTCTTGCTTTTCCTCTGAGTGAGAGAGCCAAACCCTGTCGTAGAGAAGCATCAACACTTTTGGAGAACTGAGTCTGCATGGACTTTCGTCTGACTATGAGTCATTTAAATAAAAATACAAAAGAAGAGACAACCAGAAATAGCTTGTTTGTTTGGAAACACCAAAATTAGGTGGCAATAGGGATCATGGGAGAAAGTCTTTGCTACCAGTGTGACTCACATGTGCAGAGAATCAACATGCCCACTGCACACTACATTCCCATGGTGTGACTCACACATGCAGGGAATCAATATGCACACTAGATTCCCATAGTGTGACTCACACATGAAGAGAATCAACATGCCCACTGCACACTACATCCCCATGCTTTCCTTCCCATTTGTTGGACTGGCATCAACCTCCACCTCGTTGCATAAGGAATCCCTTGTTTTCCCACTACCTCATAGAGAGTTGTTCACCTTTTTTTTTTTAACTAATACTGTCATTTTTCTGCGACTTGCCTTGTGCCCCTCTGCTTCATGCCCTCTTTTTTTTAACTACAGAATTTTTCTTAGGGATTGGTAATATTATGACTAATAATTTGATCATGTAAGTCCTTTAATTTTGTATCATTTTCCTGATGCTGGCACTGTAAAACCAAACTCTGTAGCGTGAGGCCCAAGTTTCTTTGGACGGATTTTCCTGCCTTTCTACTGTGTTTTCTCCAGAGCCACAGCGGTGTTTTATTCACTGGTTCTGGTAGTTCCTTTGCTTCCTCCGAGCATTCCCTCTTCTCTGGCTCCTCTTTATGTATACTTCTCTCATACCTGGAATGTCCCCCTTTATGGCATATGCACCTTACATGTCCTTTGTTTCCTAAAGGACACAACACAGGCACCAACTTCCTTAAAATGCCTTGTCTGTGTTGTGCCAGGAATTACATGAAAAGCAGGATATGTTTTCTTGCATGTAGAAAAATTCTTACTACTTTTAGGAAAAGATTCCAAAGGAAAAAAAAAGTTGAATAGATAAAATTAGAATTGATGGATTGAAAAAATGTTTGCTAAAAGAAGAAAGACCATTCAGTAAACTGATAATGAGAAGAGAGACCGAAACTATTTAACAGGCACCATAGGGTGAAAAGAATTCCACACTGACAATAATCGATTTCCCAAACCCTTGAGCACTGTGAAGTAAGAGCCACCGGGTAGAGCTGTGCAGTTTTTATGGTGCACAATTTGCAAGAGGCCCATAAATGTCAAGTTAGGGGTGGACTCGCCGATCATTTCAGCCTCATATGGTTGCACAGCTTCTGTGATAAAATGGATAGGTCACATGATCCACTTCAGAATTTAGTTTTTAATTGAAGATTGCTAAACATTTTAGTCAAAGTTTGTATGTTGGGTATCAAAAATGAGAAGTGTGTATTTTATATCCTTTAAATGGTGTACTGAAAATTTCATCATCAAAATAAAAAATGTTAGGTACCAAATACAGCAAGTTTTAATTACATGAAAAAAAATCACAAATATGGCAAATAAGTCTATTAAGATCAATCCATGTGAATCTATTTAATGGGTAATAGGGATGTATTAAGATATATCTTAATAAATTGAGTAAATATACTCGTGAATACAGAACAGAGTAGACAGCAGAAGTTGTCCTCTGATCTGACTGGGAGCAAATCCACCTGGCAGTTCGATCAGACCAGGAAGCATGCAGCAGGTAGAAAGAGCGCATCACCCTTCTCCCTTACCTTTTAAGAGGTCCCATACAATGGCAGGAAGCACCCTTCCTTTGGGGTCCCATAGCCCAAGGTCGTGGGCTGAGCACATACCACTACATAAGTCTGCTATTTCAGTGAGATTGAAAGCCACCTTCAACTGTGGTATAGTTTGGAAAGTGTGCTTAAGGTTTATGGATTGTGGACTTCCAGTCCAAGGAGATCAAACCAAACCATTTTAAACACTGATTTATAAATTTGTCTTTCTGGTGTTATAAACTGACAAGTACCAGATCCACAGACTGAGCTCAACGGTGATAATTATAATTTACAGATGAAACAGAACTCTTTCTACTTTACAGTCTCATGCTAATATGAAACCTTGTCATAATTCTGTTTGTGCATCAATAGCTTCATTGGTGCCTGAACATGTAAATAAATAGTTTTGGCAATTTTGCTTTTCCTGGAAGCACCTAGAAGGAAATAAGAAAAAAAAATTTTATTGTTTTATCTGTAAACGTTTGTTGTTGATGTTGTTTTTTGTTTTGTGTAAAGTCTCATTGATTTCCACTCTGAGAAAATCTTATTTCCCAGCTCAAGATGAAATTCTTCAATTTTTATATATTCTCCACCCACCTTTTATACTCACCCACTGTAACATAAGTTCTTAAAAATACACACATCATAATAGAATAGCCAATAAGATTGCTGTTTTGAAAGCCACAACTTTCATCTCTTTTAACCTGTCTTTCCCCCAGACCCCCCAGCTGTGGAACCAGCATTCTTGGAAATCCGTCAAGGACAGGACAGAAGTGTGACCATGAGCTGCAGGGTCCTGAGAGCGTATCCAATACGAGTGCTGACCTATGAGTGGCGTTTGGGCAATAAGTTATTACGGACCGGTCAGTTTGATTCTCAGGAGTATACAGAGTACCCAGTAAAAAGTCTTTCCAACGAAAACTATGGCGTTTATAACTGCAGCATCATAAACGAAGCCGGAGCAGGGAGATGCAGCTTTCTCGTTACAGGTAGGATACTAAATTAATTTGATTTTTGTTAATACATGATTTTGGAGCAATAGATCTTGGGCTTGCATGAATGCTGGACTGAAATCATTTTGTAAATGGATAGGTTTGTACATTTGTGATTTTGCTGTTCTAGTTGCAACATCTATTTGATTGTTTTGGGGGCAGGTCTGTCTTTTTGGTGAGAATAATGCCTGTGCCTATAAAACAACACAGATGTCTGTCTGAATTCAGATGAAATGAGGAAGTTCTCCTGATTCTGTTTGTTCCTCTCAGTGATAACACAATTGACTGTGGTAACTAGCAGTACTGAGATAAGATTGCAAGATAAGTCACATGGTCTGGCTCTCTCTCTTTTTGTTTTTTATGAGTAGCAGCAATGTTTTGTTTTCTTAGTTATTACTTCTCAGTGTCCAAGGCTCCGTGTCTCAGTTTGTTCTTGGCTTGTCACATGCTCTCAAATATTTCATGGCAGACCAATAAACTATATACAAAGTATGACAATTAGAGAGAAGTACTAACACGTTTTGAAGTTGTTAGCAACTGTATGTTCCTTTTGTATAGCTTTAGACACTGGTTGACATTATTCTGATATTCTCTGTGCTTTGGTAAATCTGTTCTTTTGCTATTTTTGAACCAGGGTTTTGGAATGTATTAAAAGGAAATTACCTTTTCAATGTTATTTTTGTCTTAAGTAAAATGACATTTAACAGTTAGAGCATTTGTGATATTGAGTGAAGAAGTTGGCCCCTGTGTCATCTCTGAAAAGCTGTTGTTTAAAAAAATGATGAAACTATCCCAGACTGAAAACTTGTTCATTAACAAGAAATATAGTTGTTAATTTCTGATTTTGAGCAATCTCTCTGTTCTGGGTGGCATTGTGTGTCAGTTTGACACAAGCTAGAGTCATCAGAGGAAGGAGACTCAGCTGAGGAAATGCCTCTTTGAGATCCAGCTGTAAGGCATTTCTTATTTAGTGATCAATGTGGGGGCAGGCAGCCTATGATGGGTGGTGCCATCACTGGTGTGCTGGTCCTGGGTTCTTTAAGAAGGTGGGCTGAGTGGACCATGGAAAGAAAACAAACAGGTAAGCAGCTCCCCTCCTGTCCTGTTTGAGTTCCAGTCCTGACTTCTTTCAGTGATGAACAGCAATGCTGAAGTGGAAGCCAAATAAACCCTCTTCTCCCCAACTTGCCTTTTTGTCGTGGTATTTTGTCACGGCAATAGCAACCCTAACTGAGACACTCTCTAAAGCTGGATTTCCTTTGAGCCATTTTTACTACCTAAAACATAATATTAGATTGATGAAATTCACTCGGCTACCAAGGAACATGAAGCAGTCTTCTCCGCTGTACTCTGCTTCTCTTCATTTTTCAAGACGTTTTATTTTGGCCCATGTCAATGAAATCCTTTTATAATTTGATTCTTAAAGTAGACTATTAACACAAAGCCAAAAGTTCCTAGGACAGTGTGTTTAACTTAGGGGGAGGATAATGTCAGTGCAGTGAAATTAATAAGGGCTGGAATGTTGTCTGTTATTCAAGAGGAGATTTTTTATGATCTAGCTTACTGACAATCTTTTAGCCAATATTCCATTTTTATTTGTTTTGTGTGCCTCTGTGTACATGCATGAGGGTGTTCACCTTTCATATACATGGAGGTCAGAGGACTTCTTGCAGGGTTCCGTTCTCTTCTTCCACCATATGAATCCCAGGATGGAACTCGGGGGATGTCAGGGTTGGTTCCCAAAGACCTTACATGCTGAGCCATCTGACCCAGTTAGTCGTTTTCTACAAAGTGCTTTCAATAATAATAGGAATCATGTAGAGGCAATTACTTTTCTCATGTTGGCACAAATGAGGAATCTGACTTCCATTCATTAATCCTTTAAAAAAAAATAGACATCATAAAATTAACTGTACGCTTTTCACTCTTTTGGCCTTAGGCAATTTCCAATTTTCTGAAGCGACACTGGCTGTCAGGTTTAGGACCATGCTGCTTCTGTAAGATTTTCATTTGTTCCTTCTTATGTGACCCGAATTCTCTTTGAAAAGTCAAGGACAAGCTGAGACCAGAAGAAACTCTAAGCTCCATTCTTCCACCTCACATCCATGGGGTGCAGCAAGTGGATTTTGATAACCATGGAAAGGAATAAATCTGTTATGAGTTTCCTCACAGGGGGAAAAGAAATACCTTCAGGCATTATTTTCTTTCTGTGGTGTGTGCTCTTCAAACTTCAGGTCAGCATTATTGTTTCAAGATCTCCTCATAAAGTGAAATATAAAAAAAAAAAAACAGGAAAAGGAAAAGATCAAATTTTAAGTAAAGCACAACCAGGGAAATGCATAGAGGAGTAGGCATGTCATAGCGCATGTGTCAGTGGAAGAACTTTTGAAAGGAGATATAGTTCTTTTACTGAATTGTATCAGAATTAGCATCCCTCAGAAGTTCAGCACAGCCGAGAATTCCTCTCAACTAACCTGAGAGAATCAAGGGGTAGGGAATCTAGTGACCATTTACCGTATTTACCTCTAAGGGAATGTTTATAAATCCCCAGAATAATATGGAATATTATGACTCATGGGTATGCTAAAATTAACTCACTTGTAAAACATGAAATTTTAAGTCTATATATATGCACACATTTATATTAGTAGGTAGACATTATAATTGTATCTTAATAAATAGTTCTATGCCATTATACCGGAGTTCAAATGGAGTTTTACATTATGCCATGATGAAATGGCTCAGTTTATGAAAAGCATTCCCAAATGCTTAAAAGACCTAGAATCATTGCTGTCATGACTAAGTAACTTTCTGTATTTGATCCTAACACATAGTTTGATCCAGAAAGGATGGTCAATCTTTACTGATTAAATAGATAGGTGACTTGATAGCAACATTTCTTATTGAAAGAAAGAAAAGAAGAATAAATTCATTTTTAAAATTAGGAAAAGAGATGTGTATGAACAAAGATAAAGAGTAGTTCAGGTTGGAAGTGAGTAATATATTTCATAGCAGGCTAATGACTGACCCCAAGGTTGTGTCTGTCTACTCATTCTGCAGCTCAGAACTTACACCACATGCTAAGATGAAACACTGGATAAGTTAAGACTTCTCAGAGGAGACTAACCTGGCTGTTTCAAGAGGGTTCCAAATGTAATTGTTCATATTCTCATGTCAGGGAGGCAGAGTGAAATCTGAGGGGGAAGAGGAGGGAGTTTGACTATGAGCCCCTGCAAAGAGGAGCCAAAGACGCTCTGATGTCACCAGGACTGAAAGAGAAGATCCTAAGCTCCTCTGCAGCCTCAGCAGGAAGAGACGGCGTGTTAGACAACAGCCTCAGGTTTTTGTCTGCCCCTCAAACCCAGAACCCAGAGAGAGTAAAACCTTACGCCACCAGTTTGTAGTAAATTTTATGGTAGTCTTAGATATCTAACACATGTGTCTCATTGATTACATTCCTGAAGGATTATCTTCAAAACGCAGCAAGGCAAAAAGTACTGCTGTGTTGTGTCTTCCTGATGTTCAGTGAGATAGTGAGAGTTCTCATGACTCAGCCAAGCTGTGCATACTGTTTGTTCTTGTCTCCTGTAGAGCTAATGGAACCAGGTTACAGCTAACAGTCAGTAGAGCAAAGCAATCTGGCAGATTGATTTAACCTACGAAAGGCATCCGTTTTATATGTTGGTTTATGTAACTCATCAACAAAGATCTAGCAATGCCTCCGTATTAAAATGTCATCACAATTTCACCAGACAGACAAGAGGAGAATTCTCCTGAAGCTTGATTATGGAGAAGGGAAAGTGCCTGTGTGCCGCCGATTCTATCAAGAGTTAAGAAATTAAGGAAGACATGGTTTTACTCCTTTTAAATAGAAAGGACCCTGTTATTTGTAATAAAATACAGCACTGGTTTATGAAATCCCAAAGAGTTTGTTTATCAAATATTTTAGGTGCTAATCCTGTATACTTAGTAATCAGGATGACAGTTCTAAGTGATTTCTAGTGTTGTTTCTAACTGCTCTCTCTATGTAATTCTTAAATAGCTTCTTGTGATGATGATTCTGTTTAAATTTGCATGTGTGAGGCATATCAGACATTAAAATCACACACCAAAAGGAAAAGCTTTCAGTTTAACTTTTGATGAGCTATATAAAAAATGTAGATGATGGTATCACATGAAAACATAAGCCCAGGTAATTGTTACTCTAGTTTATATGACATAAAAATTAAAAGTAATATTGTTTTCATATTTAGCCTGGAAAGGGAAAACAGAGCACCCTCTGGCTTCCAGAAAATACATCCAATTAGAATTATAAAACAATTAAGAATTTAATATTTGGAAATAATTTTAGATTTTTTTAATTTAATAAAGAAATATATTATTCTTTTCAAAAAGTTACCCAATGCAAGTAGTCAGCCTGTAGCATTATGCAGAATGAGCAATCTGTATATACATATATATTTAAATAAAAAGAGACCAGAGGCCATGAATTTAACAGCAAGCAAGGGCAGATGGACCATGGGAAAGATTAGAGGAGGAAAGGGAAAAATGATGTAATTATATTTTAATTAAAAAATTTTAAAGGTAACATTAGACATGCAGTGCATTTTTGTTGGCTTACCCATTATTATAATTGTATGAAGACTATGTACCAGTGTATTAACTAAGGAAATTTTTACAATCCTGAAAATATTTAATAAGTTTTTGTGGGTACATAATAAATATGATATGCTAGATTAGATACTTGAAATATAAAAATACTCTCTAAGCCTTAGACAGTTTTATAACTGCATAATTTTATTTTCTTCCTGTTTTATTTGTTAGGACCATCTAGTCTTTGGGATACTCTAATAGTACTTTACCTGATCTTTTTCACTCTTTCCTGGTTTTAACTCCATGTCTATATTCCTGGGATTTATTTTCCTAGAAATTGCTTCTTACAGTTATACAAGAAATACTGGTGCTCTTTATGTCTTGTGAGATACAGAAAAGTTTCA